TATGAAACCTTATTTCACGTCAAGGATTATGGTGTGTTGTCTAACACTGTTTTATGAAACCTTATTTCAGCAAAGATATTTGTACTCAAATGCAACGCTTTCACAACGTTTTATTTCTATGTCTATAAAGATATCTGTATCCAGATACAACGCTTTTATACTGATTTTAAATATGTCGGCAAAACTATCTGTAAAGTACAAATGAAGTGATTCAAACATGTTATTTTGATATGTTTTGTTTGTGTACCTTACTCTCAGTCAGATTTTTTACAGAATGTGATAAAGAAGGCTTCAGAACTTCTGTTTAATGCAACTGAACGACGAGCATACTTTGGGGAAGTAAATTTTCTTCTTCCGTCCACGTGGGAAGATGAAGATGTATTACCCACCAAAATCAATGTCCTCAACGCGACGTGGGAAGTGTATAGTACTAGCAACGTTCGAGTGTCATCTTCAAACGGTGGATCTAGAAACTCCATGTACACTCAACACAGCAGAGGATGCGGCGAGTTTGGAGAACGAATCCATATTCCAATGGGCATCATGTCTATCTTCGACGAAAGTACGTTTTTTATTTTTTCAACCACAGCTAAAAACACGCTGTGACAATTTCTGAAGGATTGATAGTTTCAATGCCAAATCGTTTGCTGTTTGTAAGATACTTGAGATGAGAGTGAGGTTGATAAGGAAAAATTCAATTTTAATTACCAGAGCACAAGAGAATTAAACTATGGTAAAATAAAAACGTATGAGATTTAGTAAGTTATTTCTCAAAGTATTGAAAACGGTTGATTTATGAAAATTTACTCTCGTAATTTGGGCTGTACTTTTATTCATTTCTAAGTATTGAGGGGAATATGCCCCCCCCCCATTTAATAAGTTTCTCTTTTTTACTTAATTTTGTGAACAAAACATGGGCAATTAGATTATCATTTCGTATTACATAATGAAACACAATCTACGAGTTGTCTCACTTATTAATAAAAAAAGAATCACAAGGCGATAGTTACGACATTTGTTTTACTCCATAATGAAACACAACCCACGAGTTGTTCCACCTTTTAATAAAAACAGAATTACAAGACGATAGTGACACCATCTTTTCAGTCTATCTTTTTACTCCATAATAAAACACAATTCACGAGGTTGTTCCACTTATTAATAAAAACAGAATCACAAGACGATAGTTACGACATCTTTTTACTCCAAAATGAAACACAACCCACAAGTTGTTCCACCTATTAATGAAAATAGAATCACAAGACGATAGTTACGACATTTTCTCACTCCATAATGAAACACGACCAACTAGTTGATCCACCTATAAATAAAAACCAGAATCACAAGACAATAGTACTACCATCTTTTTACTCCAAAATGAAACACAGCCCACTAGTTGTTCCACCTATTAATGAAAACAGAATTACAAGCCTCTCTTTTTCTGTTTATGTAAACAAATAAGTATTTTTCTCTTTATATTTATGCATACAAACACGTACTTGATTTCTCTTGATACCATGAGCGTACTTTATTTTTAAACATATATATATAAATCCCCCCCCCCAGTGGCACAGCAGTATGTCTGCGGACTTAAAACACTAGAAACCGGGTTTCGATACCCGTTGTTGGCAGAGCAGAGATAGCCCATTGTGTAGCTTTGTGCATAATTAAATTACATATAAATTGTTTCTATTTCATTTAATCTAAAGAGACCCCTTAAAACGAATATTATTACAATGTGGGCTAATCTGAACTATATTTTGTTTAACTTTCTTCTGGTTTCTACTTCAGACTTCTTAGCACGAATGTTCTTGCATCATTGGGCTCATCTCAGATATGGAGTTTTTGACGAATTTTCCTCTGTAAATAGCGAAGCATCACCAAACTGCTATTTTGATGGTCATAAGTGGCGATTTACGGGATGTTTCAGTCCAACGATCGAGGAACAACTGCAGTAAGTATCATGTTATATTAACGCTAGCTGCTACTATGAACAGAAAGAAAAATATGAATAAAGAACTTACCGAAAAACTGAAATAATAAAACTTAAGTAGTTTATTTCGTGCAAGTAAAAATGGAATCTTCAGGATACGTATCTTCTTAGAAAAGTAAAGTCTGAAATTTAACTGTAACAAATAATTATTTAACAAATAATATTGGAAAATTTTAATTCCCCACTAACTTCAGAAAAACTTTGTAGATAACAACGTATGTCTAGAATATTTATCATATATCAGGGATTATATAAACTTTATAGATCACAATGTATGTCTAGAACATTTATCGGATATCAGATTAATAAAACATCATAGATCACAACGCATGTCTAGAATATTTATCGGATGTCAGGGATTACTAAAACTTTATAGATTACAACGTATATCTAGAATATGTATTGGATATCAGATAACTAAATCGTCATTGATTACAACTTATGTCTAAAACATTTAGTGGATAACAGGGATTACTAAAACTTTATAGATTACAACAGAGACCAATAAAATGTAACGGATATCAAATTACTAAACCTTTCTAGAAAACAATATATGTATAGAATATTTATCCGATATCAGATTATTTAAACGCGACAGAGTACAACGAATGGCTGGAATATATATCGGATATAAGAGTATTAAAACGTCATAGATTACAACGTATGTCTAGAAAATTTATCGGATATAAGGGTTACTAAAACTTTATAGATTAAAACGTATGTTTAGAATACTTATCGGATATCAAGGATTACTAAAACTTCATAGATCACAATGTATATCTAGAATATTTGTCGGATATCAGAGTAGTAAAGCTTTACAGATCACAACGTATGTCTACAATATTTATCGAATATTGAGGATTATTGAAACTTTATACATCACAACGTATGTCTAGAATACATATGACATATCACATTACTAACACTTTATAGATTACAATGCATTTCTAGAATATAGATCGGATATAACATTACTAAAACTTTTGAGATTACAACATATGCCTAGAATATTTATCGATTATCAGATTACCAAAACGTTATAGATTACAAAGAATGCCTAGAATATTTATAAGGATATCAGATAACTAAAACTTTACAAATCGCAACGTATGTCTAGAATATATATCGGATATGGGGGATTACTAAACTTTATAGATTAGAACGTATGTCTAGAACATTTATCGGATATCAGACTAGTGAAGCTTTGCAGATCACGATGTATGTCTACAATATTTATCGGATATAAGGGTTACTAAAACTTTATACATTAAAATGTTTAGAATACTTATCAGATATCAAGGATTACTTAAACTTTATAGATCACAATGTATGTGCAGGATATTTATCAGATATCATATTACTAAAACTTTACAGATCGCAACGCATGTCTACAATATTTATCGGATATTAGGGATTACTGAAACTTTATACATCACAACGTATGTCTAGAATACATATGACATATCACATTACTAAAACTTTATAGATCCCAACGTATGTGTAGAATATTTATCGGATATCACATTATTAAAAATTTATAGATCACAACGTATGCCTATAATATCTATCGGATATCATATTACTAAAACGTTACAGATCACAACGTATGTATAGAATATTTATCGGATATCAAGGATTACTAAAACTTCATAGATCACAATGTATATCTAGAATATTTGTCGGATATCAGAGTAGTAAAGCTTTACAGATCACAACGTATGTCTAGAATATTTATCGGATATCAGATTAATAACACGTTATATATCACAACGTATGTCTAGAATATTTATCGGATATCGGATTACTAAATCGTTATAGATTACAAAGTATGTCTAGAATATTTATCGGATATCGGATTACTAAATCGTTATAGATTACAAAGTATGTCTAGAATATTTATCGGATATCGGATTACTAAATCGTTATAGATTACAAAGTATGTCTAGAATATTTATCGGATATCGGATTACTAAATCGTTATAGATTACAAAGTATGTCTAGAATATTTATCGGATATCGGATTACTAAATCGTTATAGATTACAAAGTATGTCTAGAATATTTATCGGATATCGGATTACTAAATCGTTATAGATTACTAAGTTATGTCTAGTAATATTAATACGGTATATTCAGTATTATTAAATAGTTATAGTAGTTACTACTAACGTATACTTACTAAGTAAGTATT